AGCTTTTGTTGAAATGTGAACTAGAGGAGCCCGAGTAGAGCATTAAAGCTCGATATTTGGGAAAATATAGATTGTTTATTAACAACGTCGTACAATTGCAGACCTTACAGGATGTCTAGTATTTAGCCCGGAAGATGGAGAGACAACACCATAGTATTAGGTTAACACCACCTTCCAAATTGAATTCAACCACAGAATTAGGATTTGGAAGTGTTGTTGGACTCCACATTTTCTCTCCTAGTGGAGCATCCAAGACAACCATGTCTGAGGTAAAATAAGTCTAGAGTGAAAAAAATTTGAGCTCACCAACACTCCCAAATCAGTCCTAGTCAGAAAATGCTTCAAGTGGCATATTGAAGCAGATTGCTCAAATAGGAGATGATATCTTTCACTGAGCAGGGTGCAGTAGAGGAGGCAAGGGCAGGGGGTGAAGACCCCAAAAAGGAGAATAAAGAGGAGTACCGGCTACCCACAAATGATGAAGAGATGCTAGTAATCTGATGACTCCTCCAGACAGCCCATGAGAGGCAACAATGGCTCCGCCACAATATTTTTCATATCTACTGTACCGTGCAGGGGAAAGTGAAACCTCATTATAGAAGAATGTAGTTGGGAAAATATGACGTTTGCACAGTGTATAAAATGAGTCCCACTACTCAAAGTCATTCTCAGCCATATTAGCTAGTCTGGTGAAAGAAGTGGAGTAAGACAGTGTTGATAGGAGGTGCATCGTGGAGTTTCTATGGGAGACAAGCTGTAGAATCAGATTTGGTGTGATGTTCTACCTATGTATGTGTGTCATATTCTTTTATGCCAATCGTGATAATATGACAGGGATACACTTCATACGGCTGTAAAAACACATACTCACTTATCAAGGATGAGAAAGAAGTGTATTATACTTATATCATTGAAGGAGCTAGTCATGACGGGTACTCTGACAAAGGCAGAAACTTTAGTGGCCCACACCACCTTTTTATAGATTATAAGAGAAAAACCGACGAAATTGACCTTGATGATGCTAAAAGACAGTACCATGGAAGAGACTATCCAAGACGGTTCGACCCTTACTAGAGGAGTTATAGGATTCTCTACCTTTCAGTTTACCCCCTAGGTTGCCACCATTAAGAGCGATCCAGTGGAAGGTCATATGTAGCAAGCTGGGCACTAAATTTCACTTCAGTTCATTAGCATACTCATAAACAGATGGCCAGATAGGAGTGATGAACTGCAACTTTGAAATTCCTCTTAGGTGTTTTGAGAGAAAGAACAATTGATAGTGAGATCCAAGTTCTTCCATGGAAGAAGAAGAAGCTTCTCCTAGTCAAGGAGAATAATGCGAAGCGTCAATCATGCGATGTGGAACTCAATGTTTCCGTGGGATTGTAGGGAACCTCGATTGAGTAAAGAGACAAGCATGATTTTCACGTTTTTTTTCCCTTTCTATTTCTTGCTTTTCTTTTCTGAGTTATTTCATATTTCCATATCTAATTAGGGTCTCTTCCTAGCATGGATTATTTATATCGTATTTTTTGTTTCTTTCAGACTTTTAAATTGTTGTGTATTTGAGATGCAGGAATAGGTGATGAGCCCCCTCAACATCCGTACCTCGCCGTTTCGACGCTGTCTTCATTGTTTCAGCTGGGAAAGCGTGATATTTATCCCTATCCAAACGCCATCAAACTCGCATATTATCCTTCCCTTATCATTCCACAATCACCTCCCTACAAAACTATCTTCCTAAACACCTTTTAGGAGCCCTAGAACGATATAATGGGATTGACATGCAAATTTGTCTTTTTGTTGAACATAACATCATCTATCAACTTCGGCTTCCAATGTCAAATGTGTCAAGATATTTGCTTCTAAGGGTAAAATATGCCATCAATTATCTTTTCAACAAGCTAGATAGGTCCTTCAAACTTTATAAAAAGAGGTGATCTTATGAGTTGGAATAAGTTGTCTATCCATTATAGTGTTATTACCTATACTGGACTGAGAGTGAAATTCTTGAATTAATTGAGTAACAGCTACCATCATTTAAATAAATATAGCAATAATAATATTAGTTCCACTAGATTATAAGCCAACATTTGCTTTTGCATTATCAACGCTTGTGATCCATTTATCTTAACTTCAATTGATTATTATAAGAAAATTTGTTGAAGATTTCTCTCAAATTGTGATTCTCCGTCCAAGCCGACTTAAAAAACAGTGAAGTTTGAATAAATAATTGATGTAAAGAATTTTTTCAAAATAAAAAAAAAAGTCTAATGAATAATGTAGTATTGACTTTTTCTTCTGGTTCTGGAGAGTTTTACATCTTCAATCGCTGAAAGATATAGGCGGTGTTTTGATGCGACATGCAAGTAACAGTCAATGCAACTTGACAGTTTAATAATAATCAAAACAACAATCATACTCACGACCTGAAGTTGTTTGTTGATCTCTTTGTACAAAAGATATTATGTATATGGATTTCACTGTAAAGTTTTACTAATCATTTTATTCTAAATATATATCTTCACACAAAAAGGATTTAAACTTGATGCAAATACAATGCTTAAAGGTAATTTAGAATGTGATAGAACTAAGGTTATTGATAAAATTCGCACTCATTAGTTGATAAATATTCCTTTTTTTCTTTTTTTTTTCTTGTTTTTTTGTTTTTTTTAAAGATCTCCCATACAATAGATAGGATGAGCATATATAAATACTTTCAACACTTCTTTAGCACTTCATGAACAGTTCGTAGGGACCTCTTAACACATCACAAACACACATTGGGCAAAATATCTTTGATTACGCTCTTTTAGAATTTATAAACTTAATAAGTTCAGAAGTTTGATCAGAAGACAACTTGAATTATGAAGAAAGTATTTTTGCTAGGCTTGAATTATGATGGAAGCGCTCTTGCACTTCTAATAATAAAAACTGTATATTTACTTAAATGTTTTGTCAAATTAGTGTTCGTATTGTACATTTGTCAGGAATATTTTTGCCCTATGTCTATATCGTATTTTGACAATTTCTATGCATCATAGCTCAACATTAAATAAGTAAAAAAAAAATATTTCTACAATAAGCATGAAATTCAGTATAATCTCATGCACAATAAGAGGCAAATGCAGTGAGCATGAGTATTTTTCATATGATTATTACGTTAAAAAGGGGAAGGTAACATAAATACTGCAATTGAATCATAGCTTATCAATACATTAAGCAATCAATTGACCCAAAAATCAAAACTTTGCACAAATATTGACATGCAACTATCAAATGTTGTTAGTAGATGCTGATAAATCAGTCCAAAGAAAGCATGAAGGCTGTACTTAATTCATCCAAAAGTATTCCCAAATTAAAATTAAAATACTTAATAAACGCAAGATTGTTACTAATAACAATTTTAATATTTTTCCCTGGATGAAACCAAATTCAACACTGCAAGAGAGGGCAACAATTCTACAAGATGATGCTATAATTAAAAATACAGAGCAAGATGATTTAAACAATTGATACTAAAATTTAAAAAAAAAAATTAAACAGTGTATGGCGACTTTGGCACAAAATTAAAAGAACCTATCAAACTATACATATAAAGAAATATATCAAGTATAATGTAGATGTTGTGAAATGGAGCGTGAAGTACCCAGGAGGACTTCAGCGCCTCCTTGCAGGAGCTCCTACGCCCATTATTGGCGTAGCCTCACCCGAAACAAGCATCGCTACGCCATGTGGCATAACTAAGCTGCAATGGGTAACACCACGCTGCAAGTTGGGTTGATTCATCCCAGCGCACAAAACAATTACATCATGTGATGCGTGACCAGGTTGACGGTTACCTCTTAGCGAATCGGTTCTTAACCCCTCTGTTCGAGTGACGAAGTGATGTTCTGATGTGCAATGTATTCTACAAGGCGGTGAAGTTCGAGAAGTGAATTTCAAAGCGAGGATTTCTTTTTTATGAGATTGAGAGGAATGTTTGGAGTAAAGTTTTGTAAGTTCTATTGATTGTAGAGTGAAGATCTGAGTAAGTATTTATGTATATTTCTGGTTCTTCATAGTGAAAATTTTTTGGTAGTGTGGTTCTGTGATTTTTTTCTTTTTATTAGATTTTTCCACGTGAAATTTTGGGTGTGCCTTTTTTTTAAAATTGTTTTGTTGTGCTTCTGTTCAAATTTTTGTTCCGAATTTCTCGAAAAAATGTGAGCCTATTTTGCGGTGTGATTTTGATTTCTAATATCAAGCTAAAAGTATTTTCAAATTTCCATCCAAACAATAGAGCACGTTGGGCTCCTCTACCTAACCAACTTTTTCTCAAGCAACCCGTCACGTTGGTCATATTTCTTTTGTTAAAGGAACACTTCTACTTATTTCTTGGGTTCTACTGATTTGAAGTAATCGAAGAATGGAAAAAAAGATAAATGGTAAAGGAATTGAATTGAAATTAAATTTCATCAATTTGTTTGGTTTAAGAGAAATTGAATGCTATATAACAATTTTTTTTGTTTTTTTCTTATTTGGTTGACTGAGGGGAATTGAGTTTTCGTTTCTTTTAAGTGAGAGGATTTAAGTCAGAACAATGCCTCTTATTTTCACTAGGATTGGGTAGAGAATGTTAAAATGCATTTGTTCTAATTTTCTAAATAAACTCAATTACCTAGAAAATGCATTAAAACCAAACACATATTATGAAATTGTGAAGTCCCTCCAATTCCTTCAAACCAAACATACCCTAACTGTCTCAAGGATGCATGACTGTTCTTTTCAGATCAGTCTATACTAGCATTTTCAGTATGGGAACTAATACGTTCAGATCTTTTAATTTGCATCTAGTATCATAGTTTTCTGTTTTAAGGTGGCCATATAGGCTTTCCTCAAAAAAACTAAAGAAATAAAATAATAAAATAAAGCATGGAGTATATGAGTACAATTGATCATCATTAGCAACTTCAGAAACCTGCGGATAACCAAAAAAACAAAATATTTTGTCTACTTACGGAGCCATCCACCGGTAGGTCCCAGTTTCTGGTGTCATTCCTTCTGTCTGCACTTCGATCCGTGCCACTCCAAAGTCAGCAATTTTAATAGACTTATCCCCAAAAATGAGAAGATTATCCGATTTCAAATCCCTATGAATGAAACCTAATCCATGAACATAAGCCATTCCCCTGGCAACATCCAGTGCCTGTCTAACCGCAATTTTCAGAGGCACCGATCGGTTTTGCCTCCTCGTCAGAAATTGTCGAACCGATCCACCTTTCGCATACTCTGTCACAATGCACCAAACCGTCTGCTTTCTGCAAGCCCCAATGAATCTAACCACATTGAGGTGCTTCAGTGTAGCAAGCATCATCACCTCCTGCGCAAATTGCTGCTCCATCAACTGAGCTCTTTCCGGGTCATTTTCCGGTTTCTCTAACAGCTTAATTGCCACATCTTCCCCGTTGTAAGATCCCCTGTAAAGCTTCCCAAATGCCCCTTGCGCAAAGGGCTCTCCCAAGTTCAGCTGCCTCAGATCAAGCGTCCACTCATCGTAGTTGTCCAGGCCTTGCGTGGGGAAACCCTGGTCCATCAGAACTTGAGCTAGGGCATCACTGCTTAGAGCATGACTGACACGACCAGGGCGGAAAACGCTATGCCCAACCGAGCTTCCTCCTGCAGTGGGAACCTGGCGGAGAGCGTTATGATGGAGAATACCTGTTCGTGAGTCGCTCGACCCAACGCTGCTGTTCTCCGTCGACATCGCCACCGACCCGCCGCCGGTGCTCGACTGGATGCTGTCCACCGACATGTTCGTCTCCTCGCCGAGCTTCCGATAATACGCCATATCATAGAAGCTCACCCCACCAGCTCCGCCGCCTCCGGCGATAATTCCAGCGAATTTAGTCGACTCCATCATCTACTTAACTATTCGAAGCAGATAGATCCCTCTCTACTTTTCCACAAACGGCTTCGGAGATGCCAACATCGGACTACTAAGAAGAATCAAAAAATAAAGTAGCGAAATCAACACCAGCAGAAAATTGCTTCGATCTGCGAGCAGACACCACCGTTTTCCACCGGACAACCGAAATATCTTCCTCCGGCGAGCTTACAGAGGAAAGCAAGATCAGAGCAGAGAGGTACGAATGAGAAGTCCTCTTCTCCTCCTCTTTCTCTCCGTGCTGCAAATGGGAGAAGACCAAATGAGAATGAGAACAGCAAGTCTTCGTTTTCTTCGTTGTTTGGTCTCCTGAGCAGCGGATCACCACGTGGCCTGTGCACCTGTTTCGTCTTACGCTGCATTTTATCGTGCGTTTTTAAATGCTTGACGATTAGCGAGGGCGGTTATGTCGAGTTGAATCCGCTTAAGCACGAGAAAAATACGCAGCGGTTAGCGAGTTATTTCTATGTTATACAATTTGTAATTTTTGTACAGCACTTTTATTTTCATATATTTGTAGGTTATCGAGAGGTTATAGGGGTATAATGCGGATATAACCTCCAATACCTTCACTGTAACCTACGTGACGTACCCAATTTTTTCTTCATAAGCACCCGTTCAAATTTTATTGGAATAATTACATACACATCACAAGAAATTTGGTATTTACATATTTCTCATTCGCTTTCATCCATTTTATCAAATTCACAATAATTTGATCTTAGACGCATGTAAATATATCAGCTCGATAATTGAAAAAAAATCAATTTCATAAATATTAATATTTCAGATAGTAAGTATGTAATTATCCCAATTTTAATTTTATTTGAAAAGGAGAACAAAAATAATATTTATTATGAGAAAATATTACATGCGGAGTTCGGACGTTAAAATATTGCTTACGGACAAAGACACGATGCACCCGAATCTTTTTTCTCCTTCTGATGTATTGTCTCTGTTGTCCGGACTCCTGACGTAATATGTACACTCTTGAGTACATTTCAAATATAATCTAAGAAAATTCTATTCATACAAACATTTGAATTATCACTATTTTAAATTTTAAATATGAAATAAGTTCTTTCATGCATAAATAAAGTGCCATATAAATATATGTAAGAAATTAATTCTTTGATGTCATAAGAATTGAGTGGTACTTATGTAAATATTTTTTTTATAAATATATACTATCAATTATATATGTGCTATTTATGCATCGAACCTAAATTTGACTAAAATGATTAAAGAAATGAGCATAGAATTTGAGCACCAAACTTTCTGCTGCTAAATGGAGGCCGATAAACAACGTGTATTGCTGCTGGGATCTTGGCGGTGGATCAGACAGGTAGAAGTCCAACGGTCAAAATAAATATTTGAATTATTTTTATTTGAGGAAACTTTGCGTCATCTTATAAGCATAAAATTAAAATATATAAATACACTCTCTCTCCCTTCATTTTCATGGACTAAACATCAATTTATTTTTAAAAGTGGGTCTGTTCGAGACAATTATAGTTGTGCTGAAAAATAAACTCATGTTCAAAAAGAAAGTTGTCACAGCTCCTAGTGAGGACCGGTGGAAAAATACAGATTACAGTTACATCTTTTTAAAAAAATAGTCAAAAATATAGTTTACTCAAACAAATAAAACTGATGTGCGGTGTCAACGCCACCTCAAACGGGAAAAAAATATTACATCCGGACTCCGCATGCAGAGCTGCTTGCAGAGTCCAATCTCGAGCATCACGTGGAAGGTCGGGGTCCACCTACATAAGAAATGAAAAAGAGAACGAAAATAAATAACCCGGTCAGACCGATGCGTTATAGGAATATTCTATCGTATATGAATATTCTCTTGCGTTATTCTGAATATTTTTCGCATTATTCATGTGTTATTGGTGTGTTATTGAGGTGATTCAACCAAATGACAAGATAAAAACTTCTACTGATGTGATATTAATGTGTTATGGACGTGATTTTGAGTTTGTATTGTTATTTAAAGAACAATAACATCTCAAATTCTCTACAGTCACTGTTTTTAATATGTTATTGGTGTGTTATTCATGTGGGTGATACAATACAATAACGAGATGAAAATTTCCACAGATGTGATATTCATGTCTTATGAAGGTAAGTTTGAGTTGATATTGTTGTTTAGGTGAGCCCCGACCTTCCACGTGTCTGCTTAAGATTGAATTCTGCTCTGCATGCGGAGTCCGGATGTAATATTTTTTTCCTCAAACGAACCCTGTGTTTCCACTTCTTCTGAGGCACGGTCACATTTTTAATAATTAATATGATAATTGTCATTAAAAGCATTATTACTCATCTTTCGAGATTTCTTTTTTTTTTTTTTGGTCAGGATTGATATTATGAAAATTCTTGATCTTAATTTCAATAAATATTCTATACATTGGGACATAATTAGGGATATCTTTATAAATAAATAATTATTATTAAACCATAAAATTTTGTATATGACATATTAGAACCTTAACATGGGGCGTCCATCCGTTGATGAGTCAGATGAACTAAATAATATTTAGATACAAGCATTGCACCAGCCTTAAGGGCACCTTTTATGTATGTGTATTATACGGTATAATATTGGGTGTATATATGTAGCTATGGAGAGTATCTTCTCTGTTACTAGTAGGGCTGTAAATGAGCTCAAGACTTCTTCAAAATTAATTTTGTTTGAAATTGGCTCGCATTTGAAATTGTCTCTGAATAGCATGTTAGTGTTCGGCTCGATTTATATGATGGTGTTTGGCTTATGTTCGGTTGGTTAAATTAATTAGAGAAATAGATGTAGGGTGTTAGATAAGAATATGCATCATTCCTAAATAATAAAAGAAAAAGAACAACATGATTACGCAAACTAAAGTGATTCAAACAGAGCTATAATATATATAATATATGATTACATAAATAATATATATATATATATATATATATAATTTCTTTATTTTGAGCTAAAATGAGCAGAACTCAATCTAACAAATGGTTATTCATGTTTGGCTCGTTTATAATTTGAGCTTAAAAATTTTATTCTTTTTTGACTTATTTAACGAATGATTCAAAAGCGAGCTACTTAACAAGCCAAATACGAGTTGTTCGCGAACAAAGAGCTTTTTTTACAACGCTAGTTATAGGGGGTATCTGGTAATTATATTGGAGTGGCTGAGACAAGACACCAGTGACCAAAATGTGGATGGTTGGAGATGCTCTAATAGATTGTTTAATCTATGTCGATGATGTTTTGATTTTTTATAAGACGAATATTGCTTATGATAATTATTTGTTTTCTATTCTTGATATCCTTGGTAGAGCCTCTAATTTGCGTGTTAACATGAACAATTACCTATATGTTTCTCTAAATCTATTGACATTTCTACTCAGTATGTTTTATGTCATAATATTGGGTTTGCATTTAAAGCTTTGCCTTGGGATTGTTTGGGTTAATACTAAACTTATTGTTATGGACTGTAATAAACTTTTAAGTAATCTAGATTTTTGGTTAGCAGGTTGGGAACAAAGGTTGCTCTTGTTGGATGGTAGGCTTAGACTTATCAAATATGCAGTTTGGAGCTATCTATACTCTTGGTTTCATTTTTCTAGCTTTTGAAAAGGTTTTAGAAGAAAAATCAATCTCTTAGTAACTATTTAAACAATAATGATGTTAGGAGGTTGAATACTATTTCATGGAATATAGTTAACATGTCTTTGCATAATGTTGGAATTGGTCTTCATTCTTTAGATAATATTATTTTCAAGTATTAAAAAAAATATATTTGAAGAATTTTCAATGCATATTTTTTTATTAATAATTTGTTGATTGATCATTATGGACCTATTTGGTCAAATACTCGTACTAATTCATCTTTTTTTTTTGGAAAGATTTATATAATGTGGCTTCCAAGAATAGAATGTGCTTGATTTTTAATGTCACTACCCGTTTTCACTTTCTTTTTACTATGAACCTTGATTTTATGGAGATTCTCTTTACGAAAGATTTGAGAAATTTGAGAATGTTAATTTTAATTAGTTTAATTACCTTTTACATAATAAGATTTTTGAAATTATTATTATTAATTTTTGGGTTATTAATGTCAATGTCATTGCTCCTTATTGTATTAATATCATTCTTAATATTCCTATTATTGACGATTATTCGAGCTTTTGAAGTGATTCTAACAATTATTCTCATAAACATTTCTACTTTTTTTATGAGTTTTGTCCTGAACAGAATTGGTTAAATTTGGTTTATTTTAAGGGTTATGCTATTAAGTTTGTTTATCATATGTGGAAAATCTTGCATAAAGGCCTCAAATTTTGTGATGTTCTTCATGACAAAGGGATTCTTGTTTACCTTAACTGTATGCTCTGTTCTGATTATAGAATCTCATTCTCATTTTTTCTTTTAATAACCTTTCTCTCATCTTCTAGTAGTAATTTGTTTGAAGCCATCTATTATGCTGATATTATTTCTTGTAAAGTTTTAAAGAAAGTTTATTTACTTGTTTTTCACTCTACAACTTATTATATTTGGTTCTAAAGAAAAAAAAAATGATTTTTAAAAATAGTTTGAGACCCATTCATATGCTTAGTAAAAATATTCGTTGGATTATGAGACAAAAAAGGAGAAGATAAAGACTTAATATTGAGATATTAGAGATCATTATCATCTTTATTATTTTTATTTGTCACTTTGGTGGGTTGGTTTTTTCTTGTTATTGTTGTTTAAGAACATATATTCCTCTTGATTTATATTATTCTATTAAGAACAAATTTTTTTCTTCAACTTAAATAGTTTCTTCCTCTTGGTGGGTTGGTTGTTTCTTGATTTCGCTCTTAAGATAAATATTCTTATTGATTTGTGCTTCTCTGTTAAGAACATATTCCTTTTTTATTTTCTTTTTTTTCGAGCTATGATGAATTCAAACCGTTCTTTCTCAATATTTTGATTATTCATCTTAGTATTAGAGGTCCTTATAATCTTAATCATTTTTGTGGTTCTTACGTTTTTTATTTTCTATTTGTCTAATTCTTCTCTAAGTTTTCTTTGATTAGGTAGCTCTTCTCTTATGGGGTATGTAGAATTGACATTGGTTGAGATTTGCTGAGCTTTTTATGAGTTTGTTCAATATTGATGTATTTCGTTATCTATCAAAAGACATCTTGTCTCTTTTTTTGTCCTCTTGAAGTTGTTTCAGACTTTAGCTACTTTGGTGATTCAGTGTTGTTGATTTGATGTTTTTAGTACTTTTTATTCAGCTTTTTTGGCTATAGTTGGGCTGTCTTGTTGTTGTGCACTTTTTGTTTCTAGTCATTTTGTGTTTGCAACTTTATTATAATTGTGTGTAGTTGTTGTTTCTGCATCTTATATTTTTTTTAGCACTTGTTTTCATTTTTTCATAAAAGTTTGGTGTGGCCCTAATAGTTTTCCAATGAAAAAAAAAAAGAAAAAAATCTTGAATTACGATTATAATAGTGCACACACTTGTAATGGTACTAGTCTCTCTCACTTATGCATGCTAAAAAATTGGCGGCGGTAGAGTATGGATTATCGTCTTAGAGTTGCACGAGATTTCAGCATACACTCAAATAAAAGAAACAATAAGTAGTAAAACTAGAGAGTTTTTACGTGGAAAACCCGTAAAAAAAAACCATCAGTCCTACCTAACTCAGTTAAAAAATTCATTATATGCTGATGATTACAGATACCCTTTGTCCCACAAACGGAAAAGTGTTACAAAGTCTTCTAAATTACAACGTTGACGTGCGAATGAACTTATTGTAAGAAGTGGGCAGTAGTTGATAGCGATCGTTGAAGGCCAGCAGGTGGTGGTCGACGATGATAGATGGCGGCGGGAGTGGTGCTAAACTTCAGCTTTTTCTCAAAGATTTAAACTCTTCTTCAAGCCTCCAGCTCTCCTCACTCTCATGAGTGTCTCTATTTGCAATTTTGTGGATACAATTAATATAAGAATATGAACAACTTTAATTCGATGGTCCAGAGAGCTTCCTTCGATTAGACTGTGTTTGATCGACATTTGAGTGTCTTAACGATGTCAGAAATGAGCAATCTTGGGCTTTCTAGATTCGTCTTGTCGAGACGCTCGATTCGACTATAAACTTGCTAGATTGACATTCATTTGATCTTCTCAATATGTTCACAAAATGTTCAAAAATAGTTTAATGACTTGATCTAAGCTTGATTTGACTCATATTGGACCAGTTTTGATATCATTGAATCCGTCTAATCGAGCCGGTCAGTTTGACTATAAGTTTACTACAATCAAAACTCTAAATGACTTCAAGATTTGAAAATTTTTTGCTCAAAAAATCATCTCAAGATTCGAGCCGTGCCTCGAAAATCGTGTCAGATGGTCAGAATTTGTTGATGGGGTGTCACTCAACATATTTATTTATATTTATAACAATTTTGCTGCCAATTATCTTTCTCAGTTTTCCGATGTAAAAGAAATTTTGCAGAAATTTTTCAAATGAATCTTAATTATACCTACATAAAATTAAATTTGAGTTGAATCAAATTAACAAACAAGCTATACTTTAATTTTATAATTAAATTAAAATTCAAATCATGATTAGGGAATTCTCAGCCCTACCTAACGGGTGAAGACCTTCCATTGAACTGCGATCTCTTGTCGTTATATGCTCTATTTTCTGCTCAATTGCCATTATAATATTTAAAATTGCCGCTTCTTCGGCATTCGGTGAAGCGATGGGCGTCACGATGTTCTAGTAACTTCAGCCCAATTATTGCTGGAGAAATTTTAGATAATTTTGACTTAAATTTAATGATCATGAAAAATACATATAATGTATATTAGTTTATTAATTAAATTTATATTATATTTATTTTAAATTAAATTAATAATTATGAATTATATTGATTCATATTAGGAAGATTTGCATACATACACTCAATTCTTGTGTATGTTTAACATTTTATTTAACTTCTAAACTTTAAATTTTATATAAATATCATCATATCATCTTATCTATTTATGAAAAAAAAGCTACATTTCATTAAAAAAAGGCATGATTTTTTTTTATTTGATGTGAAAGATTTGAGTGGTATAAAAAAGACAATTTAGGTATTAGAGATGTAAGTACATGTATTAGGCATGTTGAATTCTGATTTATTTGTAAATCACATCCGAGGGAATTGAGCACAAAGGAGAGAGGGAGAGAGGTGAATAGTAATCACGTCAATCATGTTGGCTTTTCCTATTGTTTCAGGCTAATTTTTCTACCCCTTGTTTATAAAATGGAATATTTATAGGAGGAGAGTATATTAGGATGATGTTATATTTTTTTTCTTGTTTTTGAAGAAGGTTGTACAGAGAATTCTTGATATTTTACTGATACGAGCCTATCACTTAGCTGCTCTCAGGCTCGGTCGACTGAGCTTGTTTCGCTTAGGCTCGACAGAACCGACTCAGACAATTGGGCATAGTTGACATTGCTGATCGACTGAGCTTGATTGACTTAGGGTTGGTAGGACTGCTTCGGTCTTGAGTTAGTCGGATTGTCGACCTTTATAGTAGATTGGAGAGCTTCTGAACATCCATGGTATGATTGAAGATGTTGTGGGAATAGGTCGTCCCTTGAGTTCTCTTTGTCTCAGAACTATCTAAACGACTCTGATTTAGATCATTTGGTTGTTTTTCATGACTCGATCGACTTTGACCTTGCTGGTTTTGGCTCAGACGACTGCACTCGTTTAGATAATTGGGCGTCGTGATCTTTTGTTAGTGAGTTTTTTTTTTTATTGTACTCTTCTTCTTTGAACCATTAGATCTTAGAATCAACGCCAACGTATTTTTGATGTACAGGTCGGTATGTACGTAGACGCCCCTTCATACTCATATTGATGCTTCAAATTAACTCAAATTTATGGATGAACTATGGAACGCAAGAATGTTTCATATGTTTTAATAGTATTTCTAATCCTTTTATTATTTATATTTAAATTTAATTTCAACGTCATTTGTACTAAATATCTTTATTCTTATCAATAATTTGTGGAGGGCATGTCACTAATTTATTTTAAAATGACCATAATAAATAGGTAATTAATGATACACCTTTTATTTTTTAAGGAAAAGTGAGAGCTTTGGGATCTGTATATATATATATATCAGTCCT